AGCGCGCGAGAAAGCAAAGCGACACAGAAGGCAAATCAGAGCGAGTCGGCTTTATAGTTCCTCCATCAATCCATCAGAGATCGATAATAACATACACAGAGTTGAGCAAAATACTTCGAGTGACGGCTGAATATTGAATATACTGTCTTTAATGAATTTAGTAATGAATTCCACTACAATGCATACAAATGTAACATATTCAGAATACATTTACAAAACATCGGCAATACATAAATACATAAAGTACTTGGACGAAACTCTGCTGTAGTAATTTTTTATTTAGTTCTCATTGTTCATCATTGTCCCTGCGATGGACTGGCGACCTGTCCAGGGTGTATCCTGCCTTCCGCCCAATGACAGCTGGGATAGGCTCCAGCACCCCACCGCGACCCAGAAGGATAAGCGGTTTAGATGCTGTATGTACGTATGTATGTATGTATGTATGTATGTATGTTCATCATTGTTTTTCCTTATGTAATTCTTACGGTAATGTTTCTTGATTTTTTTTAATTATTCAACTGAATACAAAAATGAATACAAACATCCCAACGTCATTTTAGCTGTCATGACCTGCTTCAGTCCACTGCTGCTCCCATAATCCTCCCATAATCCCACTGCTGCTCCCATAATTCCACTGCCGCTACCTTAATTCCACTGCCGTTCCCATAATCCCACTGCTGCTGCACTGTTGCTTCCATAATTCCACTGCTACTTTCATAATTCCACTGCTGCTCCCATAATCCCACTGCTGCTTCCATAATTCCACTAGTGCTGCCATAATCCCAATATTGCTTTCATAATTCCACTGCTGCTACCATAATCCCACTGCTGCTCCTATAGTCCCACTGCTGCTTCCATAATTCCACTAGTGCTGCTATAATCCCACTATTGCTTTCATAATCCCATTGCTGCTCCTATAATCCCACTGCTGCTCCTATAATCCCACTGCCATCTCATGAACTAACCAAACATTTTGCCACATCCCAAAAACAAAATCTCACAAATATGACTATGAAGTGAGTAGCTGTGTGATTTAGTTAATGGCATGTATATAACTTCTTCTCTGCTACTGAGGACACTGTTCTGTCCAGTCATCCCTCAAAAGAGTTTACTAGCACTCAGATTAATAACAGGTTTATCACATTGATTTATCAGTCTACTCAGGCTTTAGCAGAGCTCAGTAACACTGAGATTAATAACTGATCACATTGATTTATCAGTCTACTCAGGCTTTAGCAGAGCTCAGTAACACTGAGATTAATAACTGATCACATTGATTTATCAGTCTACTCAGGCTTTAGCATAGCTCAGTAACACTGAGATTAATAACTGATCACATTGATTTATCGGTCTACTCAGGCTTTAGCAGAGCTCAGTAACACTGAGATTAATAACTGATCATCACATTGATTTATTAGTCTATTCATGCCCTTTTTGAGCTCTTCTTTAGAGTAAGTCTTTACATGCTGTGTGCTGATTTTAAAATAGTTAATAAACAAGCATTAATAATGTTTCTTTCAAAGATGGAATCTCAGGCTCCCGCTTTGCCTCACACATGTACAGATTAGTTACATCTAGCTCACTTCACCTCCTTGTCTGCCTCAGTGTAAACAGTCCAAGAAAGCTTCACAATCACAGCCCATTAAGAAAGTAACTGCTGCAAAACCAAATATCAGAATAAACAAGTTCTAAACTCATTACTATGTATTCTCCCAAACATGTAAATAGTATTCTGAATACTGCCTTTATAAAATGTACCATGAACTAAATGCAGATTCTCAATTTTAGTGTGCTGAACAAAACCTCGTATCTCCAAAATGGTAACTTTACAGAAGAAGAAAAAACCTACTTTATTTTTAATGTAAGTCAATGGAACCAGACTTTTTACCAAGTAATTCAAGATCGTTTCTTTTGGTTTATTCATCATGAAATTTGCACACAATGTAAAGGACAGTAGGCATTTTCAAATTATGTCAAAAACAGAAAAATAGAGATATGAGGTTTTGTTCTGACAGCAGTAATATGTATTCCCAATGCTTTCATAACTTACATGAGAAACTAATGTAATGCTTCTAATACTTAAGTCTGTTTTTCTCAGTTGCATTTTAGTACACTGTGGTGGTTCAGCTCCTGTTCTGCTTTATCATTGCTCACAACTCTCACTTTGGAGCTTTAGCATTAGATCCAAAAAGAGAAGTCTAATACACTAAAGACGTTTCACTGCAGTTTGACGGAGAGTTTCTAGGCTGCATTTACTTCTATGAGTCATGATTTCATTGCAGTAGCAGTGTGTTTGAGTGGAGTGTGGGTTCAGGTGACTCTAACACTGTCTACTGTAAAACATGCTACTGAACTAGAAAAGTTCATTATTAACATCTGAGATATTAGTGATTACACAATATACAACACAAGGCTTTCATTTTTCAGGAATGGTTTATTTTCTCCAAAAAAAGGGAGATAAAACCTTTCCTAAATGAAATTTTTGCATCTTCCTCATCAAAGATCCTCCTAGCAATGCAGTAAAAAGGCGCTGGTTCAAATGAACACAGTTCCATTAAAGTAACAGCATTTTAATTTGATTATGCATCTCTGCTCGTGCTTGGTTTGTACTCACTGTGTCATTTACGCAGACCCATCTGGTGTTCTAGCCCACACACTTAAAAGAAATGGTTCTTCAAGGGTTCTTGAGTAACAGCAATGGTCCTATTTAGAACCATGAGTTATTTATATAACCATATGCTTAAATGGTTCTTTGCATGGTGAAACTGTTCTTCAGATTGATGAAGAATGTGTTGTAAAGGGTTCTATATAGAACATTTCTGAAAATGATTCTAGATAGCACATTGCTTATCATCGTAACAATAGCAGAACACTTTTTGGTGCTGTATAGAACCATTTTCAAAAATATACAGTTACACATTCTCCATCAATCTGAAGAACCATTTCACCATGCAAAGAACCAATTAAGCATGCAAATGGTTTTGTAACTCATAGGTCTAAATAGAACCATTGCCTTTACCTAAGAACCCTGGGAGAACCAAGTTAAAGTGAGCTTAGTTCTTTAAAATGCAAATAAATTCAATAATAATAATAATAATGAATATAAAAACACAGCTGAAAGGCCTGAGCATCTGTGACGTCACACACTTCTGTGTTGTGTCGTCACAGTGGCTCGTCCCATTGACAGAACGACACGGACGTCACAGTGGCATGTGGTCACCATAGCTCGTTCGAAATGCTCTTCACAGTGGTGTGTCGTCACAAAGGCTCGCTCCATTTCCAGAAGGCGTCCCGCGCGCGCTCCAGTGAGGCTGCCGCTGCTCCTCCTCTGACAGCTGATCAAAAGAGGGGTGAGGTGTGTGTGTGTGGCGGGGTGGGGGGGCATCGGGGGGAAGGGGGTAAATAGGTCACGCTTTTCAGACCACTGTCCCCCTCGCGCTTAATTACAGGCCCTTTAAACAAAAGCAACATCTGCGCGAGCTCCAAAACGAACCGGCCGCCCAGCGCGAGGCCGCGCACGCACTGCACCCAAGCCCAAGCGGTTACAAGCGCAGCGAGGCTCCTGCAGGTCTTTTTTACTTCTGAACTGTCCTGGGAGCCGTAAAGGACAACTGGCGCACAATGAAGCGCGAGACCTCCTGGACTGATAGCAGCACAGGCGCGAGGATGCACACGCGCCTGAGGAAAGAGCGCTTGTCCAATGTGCAAACTTGCTGGGTTCTACAACAGCTGTACACTCTTGAAACAGATGGTTCTTCAAGGGTTCTTTAGCAAAGGCAATGGTACCATGAGTACCACATAGAACCACTGGTATGCTTCACTGGTTCTTTGCCTTGTGGAATTGTTCTTCAAATTGGTGGAGAGTGTGTTGTAACCAAAAAAGGGTTCTTCTATTCTATACAAGCTTGACATCGTAACCATAGCAGAACGCTTTTTGGGGCTACACAGAACCATTTTTAAAAAGGGTTCTATATAGAAGCATATACAACACATTACCCATCAATATGAAGAATCTTTCACCACGTACAACATGCAAATGGTTCTGTTAAGTGGATCTACATAGGACCATCCCCTTTACTAAAGAACCTTTAAAGAACCTGTTTTTTAAGCTGTGAGAGGCGTGCATGCCAACATTGGTACTGTTTATTAGTAGTGTTTCCTACTAATTACTAGTGTTTCGCTCCTTCACTGAAATAAACAAGAGTTTATGTGTCACTTATCAATTGATTATTAACGATTTCACTCTTTTCTCAGGACACGTATGATTGATTGGACTGTAAACAGGCTACAGCAACAAGAGACAAAGCGTTTAAACTAAGAACGATTGGTCAGTTGTGTTTAAATTTGCATTAAATTCATGCAACATGAATATATTCGAATAGAAATCGATTAATTCGATCATATAACTGATGGATATGATCAAACATCATCTGAGAAATGCTTTCAGAAGCATACTCAAAACACTGGGGTGCCTCTTATTGGTATCCTAAACAAATGATTCAGTGATCTGCAACGTGAAAGGAGACAGATGAGACTCTGCAATGACAACAGATCCAGAGAAAAAGGAGTTTTCGGACATTTATAATCCAGATGTAGAAGCTGCGCCCAGTTTGGGTTATTTTGTTCCACCTGTATTCCGACAAGCCCCGCCCACCTGCGCTGGGAGTGGCTAGTAGTTGTATTCACCGTCGCCTGTGGCAGACCACTCGCGAGTGTAAGCTCGCAGCAAATCCCAGCGCACGAGGCGTGATAAACACTAGCCAATCCTCGCGCTTTCCGGAAAACGGGTGGGAAATACAACAACGGCGTCTCTCAACCTCTCTTGACTCTCAAACCGGCCGCGCCAGATTGGACGCCACAGAGAATGGGGCGTGGTTTTGAGTATACTATTGGTCAACCGAGGTGCCCGTCATTTCACTGGCACCGCCCCCTTTCCCGTCAGGCTTGGCTGCGCGGGCAACAAGCCCATCCCGGGCAGCTCCAGCTGCTCCAACAGAAGACGTAGGAGGAGGAGAGGGCTCGGACATGGAGAGAATCAGCACTGGCCCGTTTGATAGAGATTGGTCGTTTTTTTTTTATTTATAAGCCAAAAAAAAACCTAAAAAAACAAAAACCGAGAGGCCTTAGAAAGAAGACAAATAACAACAAGAACAAAAAAAAAAACAACAACAACAAGCAAACAACGCTCACCCCCGGCACAAAAATCAAAGTGGATCAAATGGACTGAATGAAGACTGCCTACAACGCCTATCGATGCCTGGCCAAGGATCTGGACGCTTACGCCATGAACCCGGAGATGACAATGGACAGCATTGGCAATCTGCACGGCGGCGGCGGGATAAGCCATGAGCAGGATCTGATGGGCAGCCCCAGCCCCCACCACAGCCGCGGCGGCGCGGGGGCCTCGTCCTTGCGGATACACCAGGACCTGGCTTCGGCGTCGTCGCGCCCGATGGTGTCCGGCATGGCCACGATCCTGGACGGCGCGGGCGAGTACCGACCGGAGCTTTCGCTGCCTCTCCATCACGCCATGAGCATGCCGTGCGACACGTCCCCCCCCGGGATGGGCATGAGCGGCACCTACACCACGCTGACCCCCTTACAACCGCTACCCCCCATTTCCACGGTCTCGGACAAGTTCCACCACCCGCACCACCATCATCACCACCACCACCACCACCACCAGCGCTTGTCCGGGAACGTGAGCGGCAGCTTCACGCTCATGCGGGACGAGAGGGCTCTGCCGGCCATGAACAACCTCTACAGCCCCTATCATAAGGACATGGCCGGGATGGGGCAGAGCTTGTCCCCGCTGGCCAGCAGCCCGCTGGGCAACGGCTTGGGCTCCATCCACAACGCCCAGCAGGGCCTGCACAACTACGGCGCGCACGGCCACGACAAGATGCTGGGCTCCAACTTCGACCCCCACACGGCCATGCTGGCCAGGGGCGAGCAGCACCTCGCGCGAGGCCTCGGCGGCCCCGGCGCGGCGGGCATGATGCCCCACCTGAACGGGATGCACCACCACGCGGGGCACCCGGGCCACCCTCCATCGCACGGGCCCGTGTTGGCCTCCAGTCGGGACAGGCCACCCTCCTCCTCCTCGGGCGCGCAGGGCAGCGGCTCGGGCCAGCTGGAAGAGATCAACACCAAGGAAGTGGCGCAGCGCATCACGGCCGAGCTCAAGCGCTACAGCATCCCGCAGGCCATCTTCGCGCAGAGGGTGCTGTGCCGCTCGCAGGGCACCCTCTCCGACCTGCTGCGCAACCCCAAGCCGTGGAGTAAGCTCAAATCCGGGAGGGAGACCTTCAGGAGGATGTGGAAGTGGCTGCAGGAGCCCGAGTTTCAGAGGATGTCCGCGCTACGGCTGGCAGGTAAGACAAGGTGGAGTTTCCTTTACTTCGAATATTTTTCGGATTCTGAAGCAATGATTGCGTCCGGTCTTCTTTAAAGAAATTCTCCAAAAAATGTATTTGGTCTCAAATTTTTTTTAATTAAATTTAAAAAATGAAATTCTCGATTCTTTAATGCTTTTGTATTTCTTTAAAGAAAATCCTCCAATGTGCATTGTGTTTTCTTCTTCTTACAAGAAATGTTTAAAAAAATTGCTTTAATATTTTGTGTTTATATATATATATATATATATATATATATATATATATATATATATATATATATATAACCCATCTATCTATCTATCTATCTATCTATCTATATAAATAGATAGATAGAGAGACAGATAGATAGATAATTAGATAGATAATAGTAACAACAATAATAATGCCAAGATCCTCCAATGTTGTGTCGCTCGTGTGAAATTGTTTGACCGTTATTGGTCAATAATTACGATCAATATCAATGACGAGAGCATAATCAGTTGTTTCATATCCAAAACACTTATTCTATTGATCGATCCAAGTCTCTGAAATATTTTCAGGACTGCAATGATCATTTTCAAATTTCCAACACTTTTATTCTTTTATTTAAAATGCCAAAACATCTAGTTTTCGAACGGGACAATTATTTAATTCGGTTTCTCAATTTGGATCAAATTTAGAGTTTAATGCATTTGTCCACTGATGTTTAATTTTTATCTTTAATCTGAAGGTTTTCGCCTATAAATAAAACTGCAGTAATGCGTAACTTTATTGTTAATAATTGTCTCCACTGTTTTCTGCTTGCTTTCTGGTTTTTGCTAAACGTCAGTTGTGATACAGAGGAATTAGACGCTGCTGGCTTTTAGTGCTCACTCCTCTTTATTAAGGAGGCTGTGTAGCCTGTAAAGCTTGTAATGGTGCTGGTTGGAAGCTCTGGGAGCCCCGCTATTCTGTCCTTGCAGCAAGGTTGTTGCCCCCTCTAGCGATGGTCAGTGCATCTCCAGCAGCCCCTTTCCTTTGTTCCTGAGGAGAAAACGAGGGGGCTGAAGAAGGCTAATCACTTTTTGAGCATTGATTCAGAGGCATTGTTTGCGGTTCTGGTTTGTTTATGCGGTCAAACGGCTCGGTCCAGTACGTGTTAGAAAGCATCACTGGCTGTTCTTCATGTCCAGGATTATGCTTCAGAGGGGAACAGTCTGGATTATCAGGCTGTTGTTGTCCTGATGCTGAGGGGATGGAAGGGATTGGAGAATTAGTGATGGCTTCAAATGCGAATTTGGGCAAAAATCGCATTTAGTAATTATCTGCTTTGCAAAATGTAAACATAAAATTGCTGCGAGGCTCCCACAAACGTTCCTCAGATTGTCTGAGATAGCAGAAGAGTATAATATCATAACAGTGACCCTGTACGTCGTGTGTATAAAAAAACTGGCGTGCATACCAAAACATTAGCGAGTTTTATCAGCGCATACCATCGTGGCGTCCATCGATTATTCGAATATGGGCTGTTCAATACATCCACATAATGAAGTGGCATTTGGATGGATGGACGTGAAAAGAGTCTGTCTTGAGGAGGTCTGTTGGAAGGAATGAGAGGAATGTCTTTTATTTCATAGAGAAAAAAAGCCGCAACGATAAAAGCATTTTTCAACCACTATATTCAGCGATTGACCGCAACGTTTTATTTTTTTGGTGCCTTACAGATGGGGGCTTTTTTTTTTTAAAGGGGGGGTCAGTGGGGTATTATGTGATCGGTGCAAGGCAGAGGGGCAATTGAAAAGAAGAACAGAAGCTGCATCGGCTCAATGAATTATTGATAGAAAGCTCCGCGTGACCCCGCAGCTCTCAACGTCACCTTGTCTTGGGTTAACCAGGCAAAATGGGAGTGCGCGCGCTTGGCTTTTGTTCCACATAGCGCTGCATTAGATTCTTTTTTTTTTTTTGAAAAAGAAGAAGAAGAGTTTGCTGGAAAAGATGTAGAGAAATAAACAAGGCGCAAAAACGCGCAGCCTGAAAGCCGCACTTTAAGGGAATATGAATATTCGACGTTTCCAATCACTGCGTTTGCATTTCGCAGTAAAGATGCACGCGCAACCATAATGTAGGAGGTCTTAACTGGTGCTAAACACCGTGCAGGCTAGAAGGGGGTCGGCTTTTGCAGGACAGGCACGTTTCTTTTGACCACGGCCGGCGGCTGCAGGTGCCAGCTCGGTGATTTGAGCGCAGAAAATGGCCCCTGTCTTCGCGCTGTTCATTTAGTCAAACCAAACGTGACATTTGACTCCGGGCTCATTCCTCCTCTCACCCTGCAGCAATCAGCCCTGAGCAGCAGCCCGAGAGCCGAAAATGATCAAAAGGGACAGGCTGCATTAAGAGTTCAGCTTCGGCGAGATTGGAAAAGCGCGCGGCTGGCTGGAAAGTGTGCTAAATAAATATATCTAGAACCGCATTAAAAGTGTTGCCGTTGGGGCTGTGAGGGCAGAATCAGAGAAAAGGGAGCTGATAAAGGTCTTCAGATAAGACTTACACCAAAATCGAGATAAGCATCAGAGTTCTGATTGATCAGGCTGATTAACTCAGGGAGCGCATGACGGGCAAGTGTTTAAAAACTGAAGTCAGTCGTCTTCATCAGTCAGGCTTTCTTATTGCAAATCACGGCCGTGATGAAAGAGCGCATGCTGTAATAGCGGCGGTTATAACTCATGCATTTGACCTTTTTCTTCTTTGGATTTGTTTTTGTTTTTGTGTTTCAGTCTTAGTTATGTCAGATGGCAATCTTAATCCCTTCATTAACCCCAATCTAAAACATGGAAATATAGCCTACACTCACAGGAAAATCACGTGACTTTCACTTCTGAATAGTCACCTTTTATACCTGTGGATATTCACGGTATTTTCTCGTGTCATGATAGGATTCATTTATGCTTTCCTGGTGTGACATGCCACATGTGATCATATATTGTTCACATTATATCAGCTGTGATCATTTAGTGTTGCCATTATGTCACGTGACCACATATTATTCCCAATATGTCACAATATGTGATTGCATATTATTCAGATTATGTCACGTCATCGCAAATTATGTGGGTTGATCACATTTTATTCACATTATGTCCCATGTAATTGCATATTTCTCCCATTATGTCACGTGCTCTCATATTATTCCTATTATGTCGCATGTGATCATGTTATTCACATATTATTCCCATTATGTTGCATGTGATCTCATATTATTCACATTATGTCGCGTGTTCACATATATTCAAATTGTTTTGCATGTGATCACATATTATTGACATATTATTCCCGTTATGTCGCATGTGATCATATATATTCCCATTATGTCGCATGTGATCTCATGTCATTCACATCATGTTGCATGTAATCACATTTTATTGCCATACTGTCGCATGTGATTACGTATTATTCACATTATGTCACATGTGATCATCTATTATGCACACATTATTTACATTACGTCACGTGTGACCTCATATTATTCACATTATGTCACATGTGATCATCTATTATGCACATATTATTCCCATTACGTCGCATGTGATCTCATATTATTCACATTACGTTGCATGTGACCATCTAGTATGCACATATTATTCCCATTATGTCGCGTGTGATCATATATATTCACGTTGTCATGTGATCTCATATTATTCCCATTATGTCGCATGTAATCACATTTTATTCCCACAATTTCACATGTGATTGCATATTATTCACAAGATGTCTCATGTAATCACATGTTCCCATAATGTCACGTGATTATATTTTATTCCCTTTATGTGTCACGTGATCATATAGGCCTATTAGTCATATTATATCACATCTGATTTTATTTACATTATGTCACGTATAAACACGTATTCACATTGTCACACGTGTTAACTATTCATATTATGTAACGTGATAAGATTCATTGTGCCACATGATAACATGGTATTCACATTGTCACGTGATCACGCGCTATTTACATAACACCGCATGATCACATCTTCTCATGATGTCACACCTAAACATACATTATATGCATTATGATCGCCTATTATTCACGCGTTTAATTGCGTGCATGTGTTTTGGACTCCTATATGAAAAAACATAAGCTCACGTGCGAAAGGCATGTGACTTTTCAGTAAGCGGGGTATAATCTGGCCGGGTTTATTTTCCAGTCTTGGCTAGTTTTGTCACTTTCTCAGACAGATGCGTGTAGCTGCGCGGTGTGGATCGATGTTGGGGTAAATCTCTGGAAGATTAAAAGGGCATTAATGGCGGCAACCATAACACAACCGTGTGGACCCAGCACGCATTGATCTGGAACCCGATCCGGACTTGTTCCAGGAAAAGCTGACGAAGGGAAGTTTCTTCCCAGCACGCGGGAGACTGACTCGGCGCGAGGGGAGATAAATAAATAAATAGCTAAATAAGCAAGTAAGAATAAATAATAAAAGACCGAAAAAAAGTCTCGCAGTGTCTTCTGTGAAGCGCGCGCCGCCATGATCGCTTTGAAGCGACCGATTGGTCCAATCAGCGCGAGGGAGGACAACAACAATGGAACGCGGCGCTGCTTAATGAATTCCCACCTAATTAGTGGATTAATTCATTCATTCCTCGCTAACAGGGAGGCATTTTAATGGACGGCCCTTTTAGAGCCGGGTTTCTCTTCATCAGCTCGACTGAAGCTGGAGGACGCAGAGAAATAATGCTGTTCAGAATGGACGTGCAGGGCAGCAGCATCAGGGCTAGCAGCACATTCTCCTTCCTGCAGCCTGCTTGGTTAGAAATAATTGACCGTGTGAGTCAGATGTGCTCTCTGATGCGGCCTATACAGACTGGCAGGGTGAAAAAAGATGGCAGAGTCTTCAGGTAGCCATTACCTGTTTCACGAGACGAGGCCTAAGAGAGGCCAGTGTGGAAACTGTGGCATATCAGACTGAAACCTGGCGCACTGGTAGCATTCACAGACTGTTTACAAGCAGTGG